AACTTCAAAGCGCGAGTGGAACTTGATTCTGGAAATAAGATCAAGTGTTTCAGAATAGATAATTGAGGAGAATACACAAGTGAAGAATTTGATGATTTTTGCAAGAAATAAGGCATCAAAAGACAGTTCACAGTGACGAACACTTCTCAACAAAATGGAGTGGCAGAGCGGATGAACAGAACCTTGTTAGAAAGAACAAGAGCAATGTTGAGGGATGCATGCCTAGAAAAATCATTATGGGCAGAAGTAGTCAATACCGCCTGTTATTTGGTGAATCGAGCTCTATCAACTGCAATAGAGCTGAAGACACCAATGGAGATGTGGACTGGTAAACCAGCTGATTATTCAAACCTCCATGTATTTGGAAGTGTTGTGTACGTGGTGTACAACTCCCAAGAAATTTCAAAGCTGGACCCAAAATCCAGGAAATGCAAATTCTTGGGGTATGCTGATGGAGTAAAGGGGTATCGTTTGTGGGATCCCACTGCCCGTAAAGTGATCATCAGTAGGGATGTTATATTTGTAGAAGATAAACTACAAAGAATAGAAGACGATGACATCACTGAAAAGTCAGAGACTACACAAATACATGTGGAAAAGGAGTTTGAACAAGGAGATTCTTCTGAAGCAGAACCAGCACATGATGAACAAGAACCAAAGAGTTCTGAAGCTCCAACAACTCGTCAATCAGATCGTGTGAGAAGACGTCCCAATTAGCATTCATATTATGTTATAGAAGGTAATATTACATACTGCCTTTTAACAGAGGACGTTGAACCATCAACATACTAGTAGGCAATAAATAGCTCAGATGCTTCACTATGGATGATGGCGATGCAAGAAGAAATTGAAGCCCTTCATAAAAATAATACATGGGATCTTGTGCCACTACCACAAGGAAGGAAGCCAATTGGTAACAAATGGGTCTTCAAAATCAAGCAAAATGGTGACGATCAAATTGAGAGGTATTGTGCAAGACTGGTGGTCAAAGGATATGCTCAAAAAGAAGGTATTGATTTCAATGAAATCTTTTCTCCCGTGGTTCGACTAACAACAATTCGAGTAGTTTTGGCAATGTGTGCTACATTGAATTTACATCTAGAGCAGCTAGATGTTAAAATAACTTTTTTTCATGGAAATCTTAAAGAAGAGATTTATATGCTCCAGCCTGAAGGTTTTGAAGAAAAAGAAAATAAGAACTTGGTTTGCAGGTTGAACAAATCTCTGTACGGTCTAAAACAGGTGCCGAGATGTTTATATAAGAGATTTGATTCCTTCATTATGTGCATTGGATACAACAGACTTAATGTAGACCCTTGTGTTTATTTCAAGAGGTCTGGTGAATGTGATTTTGTTATATTGCTGTTGTATGTGGGTGACATGTTGGTTGCAGAACCCAACAAAGATCATATTGAAGAATTGAAGACATAACTGGCTAGGGAATTTGAAATGAAGGACTTGGGATCAGCAAACAAGATTCTAGGGATGCAAATTCACCGAGACAGAAGTAATAGGAAGTTTTGACTTTCACAAAAGAATTGCTTGAAGAAGATCTTGTCACGATTCAGCATGCAAGATTGTAAGCCAATTTCTACCACTCTTCCTATTAACTTAAAATTATCCTCCGGTATGAGTCCTAGCAGTGAAGAAGAGAGGATGGAGATGTCTCGAGTACAGTATGCATCAGCAGTGGGAAGTTTAATGTTCGCTATGATATGCAAAAAACCAAACATTGCACAAGCAGTGAGAGTGGTTAGTCGGTATATGGTGAATCCAGGCAAAGAGCATTGGAATACAGTAAAGAGGATCCTGAGATACATCAAAGGGACCTCAAATGTTGCATTATGTTACGGAGGATCAAACTTACTAATCAATGGGTATGTAGATTCTGACTATGCAGGGGATCTGGATAAAAGAAAATCTACTACAAGATATGTGTTCAAAATTGCTGTTGGAGCTGTAAGATGGGTTTCAAAATTGTATTCAGTTGTGGCTACATCCACAACAGAAGCAGAATATGTAGCAGCTACACAAGCCAGTAAAGAAGCAATTTGGTTGAATATGCTATTGGAGGAGCTTGGGCACAATCAAGAGTATGTATATCTGTTTTGTGACAGTCAAAGCGCCTTGCATCTAGCAAGGAATCCAGCATTTCATTCAAGGACAAAGCACATACGTGTTCAGTACCATTTCATTTGTGAAAAGGTGGAAGAAGGAACGATAGATATACAGAAAATCCATACCAAAGACAATATAGCATATTTCATGATGAATGCGATCAATACCGATAATTTACTTGGTGTCGATCCTCTTGTGGCCTGTCAGAAACGTAAGCAACATGATGGTACAAGATAGAATGAATAGTGTGAAGACATGATTGTTCCAATCAAATCTTCAAGTGAGAGATTGTTAAAAGACAAGACCACTTTCGGTGGTGCATTAAATGCACAGAAAGTTTTGTTGATTTTTTGGGCAATGGTGAAATTACATTTAGTCATTGTAATTTAGGGTATTTACAAATTAGTCCTTAAGCTTCAACTATAAATACCCTAGCTCATTTAGCTTCAAAATCATCCCAAATCATTCTAGCTTTCTCCCAATACTAGAGAATTTAGAGAGTTTCTTGAGAGTTGTTTTCTCATTTTTTATCAAGAGAGAATTATCATTGTTTTCTCCTTGGTAGATTGAGAAAAGTTGTAATTCCTATTTTCTCATAGTGAAATTATTCTACCGTTGCCCGTGGTTTTTACCCTATATTATTTAGGTGTTTTCCAAGTAAATTTTGTGTCTCTTTTATCTTCATTTTTTATTTTATCAAATTATCAGTTGCGATTTTGCTCTATCCGATAATCATCTTTCACAACAAAATAAACCTCTAATCGAAGAGTTGATCAATGCTATACCAAACAAAAAAATATATTTTCTCCTCTATTTTCTCTCCAATATGAAGCTTCCCCCTCACTCTCAAATATAATTTTTTGATTGTTTTATGCTGCGCCAAAAGTTAGCTTTTTTTTTTTAAACAGACACAACACCCATATTTTATGGGTTCACGGGTGATGGGTTTTCCCACATAATGGGACCCACACCCAACATCCACTTCTTGCAAATCTGATTTGGAGAGGCGGATTGATCTGCAGTTAGACCATGCAATTCTTGAAGACATCCTAATACCGGCCACTTCGCACGAAAACAATCATACGGACACATACGATACAGAGTCGATCCTAAGGATCGTCTCGATCTTTTGAAACTTGGATGATGATGAGGAGGAGAATAATCTCTTGAGAGATGAAGGTGATATGGCACATGATTTTGACAGCCCAAGATCTCCCGAACAAAGTTCAGTCCTCAAAGTATCAAGTTACTTGAAAGTTGAAACTTATCTTGCAGAAGGCCATCGAAATTTGTAGAACTTGCAGAATCACTTCCGGACCATGCTTGTGTCGTTACCGATGGATTATACGAAGCTGTCGATATTTTCCTCAAAGTGAGGGTAGCTCCATATATAAGTTATCTTCAAACGTTTCATATTTCATTTGCAGGCTCTTGGATTCCTTTTCTGTCGCAATTTACAGGTTCACCCAAACATAGAGGATTTCGAACGTCATAGACTATGCAAAACCATAGACTGACAGAGACTATCTCAAGAAGCCTGTAGCCATGCGGCGCAGAACGAAAGGTTACCAGTGCAAATGGCTGTCCAAGTGTTACATTTAAAGCAAATCAGGCTTCAAAAAGTGCAATGAGCGGAGGCCACTATCAGTTCTTTGGTGCAACCAATGGTCAATCGTTCCCTCAATGTCTGAGCAGTGGTGTAGGAAGTGGCGCCATCTCACCAAGAAACAACTCTGCATCGGTGAGAAGAGAGAACCAAGAGCTGAAACTCGAAGTCGCCAGGATGCGAATGGGGCTAACCGACCTGGAAAAAGATCATGCGACAATGAAACAGGAGTTTGTCAGATCCCATGCAGAGATCAAGCTAATCAAATTACTCACCAAGAAACTAGGACAGCTCCATTCCTTGTTCATGATCAACAACCTGAAACCTGTAAGGGGGGCAAAGCGAATTCGGAATCTCGATTCTTGTCCCATAGGCGTTGGCGTTACTCTGTATCATGGTAGCCATAAAAAATGATGTATAAAACGGAAAAAAAAATATTTTTTTACCATGTCATTGACTTTCTTCGTATGTATAATCAGGGTTTTAAATAGCGGTCCGCGACCGCGATAGCACCCATGAAATAGAGGTAGTGCTGTCTTCATATATACCCGCCCGCTATGGCCGCAATTGCGGTAAACGTGACATGACCGAAAACGTGACGGCGACAGCAATTTAAAACCCTGTGTATAATTACTCTAAACAAGATGACAAATGACTCATCTTTCACAGATTCAAGCTTGAGATAAATTATTCTTTGTTTCCATCTCCATTAATCTTGGGACACATGGATATGGGATGTTTAAAGACATTGAGTGTTGTATTCATCTTTTATGTGATGAGGTGATTCGTTTCCAATATTACATATTAATTTCCTCATCCCATATATTTTATTTGGTTTGTGATTTCTGAGAATAATCTCCACCAACAGATGTGCATTTAAAGATACAATTTAATTTAGAAGCATTTGATTTCGGTTCTCTATTGCATCATTGTGTCTGTCAACATTTTAAGGATAAAACCAGCATCAAATTCTAATCACAATTTTCATATGCTAAGAAAGGTTGTAGTTTTATAGCATAGCATTGGTGCGGGCTTCAGCTTGCAGATGACCGCCCTGCTTCGAGGGGGCAAAACAAAGTCTGACAGAACACAACTAAATGTTAGTTAGCAGTATCAGACAAAATAGGAAGAACCCTTCAAAATGCTCAGCTAATGCTATGGCCTGATCAGTTCTTTTGAGCCATACTCGGATTCGAGATCGATTCAGCCGGGATTGAGCCTCCAATGTATTTGCTTTCTCACCATTGCATACAATTGAAGAGCTTATATCAGCATATAATAGCAGATATACCTTTATTTAGCATAGAAAAGGGATAATATTACATGACCAAGTTATGATACAAGTTCCTCCTGAGTTTTAGTACAAGGAAAATATATACTATGACTATATATGACCCTGGCCAGCCCCAAAAACGGTGTACAAGGATACGCTCTGCAAAAACAGCATGGTACATACCACAAAAACCAGAAAGAAAAACAGACAAACCCGCCTCATTTTATTTTTGTTCATAGAAAATTGAGGCATGCCTGCGTCAAATCCATATAGCCCCTGCCCTTATGAGCAATGGGACAAGCTGGTTCTTCACTTGGAGTGTCATGATTTGATTAGGACCTCCAATGAGTTGCTGCCCTATGAAAACAGCCGGTACACTGGGCTTGCATCCCATCTGCTGCAGCTCCCTTTCAACTTGTTTCCCGTCTTGGAGTTCGTCGAGCTCGTAAACCATCGGGTTTGCCCCGAACCCACTTATCAGAGTCTTGATGGTATGGCTCATGCAACATGTGGTCCGGCTGAAGATCACCACCGGTCTTTCGGCAACCATCCTTGTAACCACTTCCATTGTTTGATGCAGCAGAGAAAAGTAGTTTGAATTGTGAGTGTGTGCTTGTGGAGCTTCTTGGAGGGGGACTTTGAATGTTTAGTAATCTGTTTGAGCCTAATGAGGAACCTAACCACCCTGGAGGCCTATTTATAGCATCCATGAAGAGATATTAGATATAGAAAAGGAATAAAACAAAGAAATCCATAATATTACCATTTCTCTTTATTACCCTTGATGACTATTTGATAAAGACATTTGTCTATATTTCCCTGAATTGAGTAAATAGCAAGTTGCATACACAACAATATGCTAATATACAACATGTGACAATAAACACATTTAAAAAAATACATAATGTAATGTAACAAAAATACTCTTTACATTTAATTAAATAATATTATTGAGAATGCAGAAAACAAATGAACAATACTTGTATATTGAATACTAGAACTCTCCATTGAATACAAGATCGCTACTGTTTATATACAGCTTCACTTGACTAATGTAACAACCTTAACTATTCAACTAACCATGCTAACATCCTAACAACCTTGACTGCTATAACAACTTCAAGAAACTTCTAACTATTCAACTGATGATCCCATGCAATCTAAGCTCATACACGCTGCAGTACTAATAACATTGATGCTGACTCATCATGCTAACATTCCCTCTACTTCTTCTTCTTATTCTGTTCTTCTGACCTTGAACACACTATTACTAGCTATACTAGAGTACAAGCAAGTACACAACAAGCTCTAAAAACTAATTACAACTAATTTCTAACATTCTCCCTACTATCTCAACCTTCTTGACAAAAAAATGAACACTTGAATCAAAAGTGCCGATGCCTCTTTCCGTTCGATTTGAATCGAAAGTGTCGATGCTTCCTTCCGTTCGACTTGAATCGAAAGTGCCGATGCTTCCTTCCGTTCACTTGAATCGAAAGTGCCGATGCTTCCTTTCGTTCTTCTTGTTCACCTTCATTTCTTTCTTCTTCATCCTATTATACAAGGTTCCTTGACATATATTTTTTTCCTTTTTTTTAAAGGACTATATTATCATACTTATTACAAATTCACCCCAAGTAATTATATCCATTTTGCTTTACCAAATTAAAAAAAAACAGGTGATGCAGTAAACTACGATCTCCTTCAGATAAAGAATAAGACCACTGCCGGTTTAACACGCCTGCTACGGCTCATCTAACTGGTCCTGCACATCCGAAGTCCAGAGAGTAAGATTATCCCTTAGCAGTTGCATTATGAGAGTGTTGTCGTTGTATGACTCTTCTCCCAGTGTGTTAAGCTCAACAATGGCTTCCTCGAATGCCTGTTTAGCCATGCTACATGCTTTATCAGACTGATTGAGAATCTTATAGTAGAACTCCGAGAAATTCAGAGCTAGCCCCAATCTAATCAGGTGCGTTGGTGCTAGACCCGCCAACGCAATATCCTGAGCTGCCTTGTAAGACAACATAGTATCCTTAGCAGCAACTTTCCTCTCATCACCAGCCTTAAACTTCGCCAAATAACGATGATAATCTCCTTTCATCTTGAAATAGAAAACCTTCGACTCATTGGCACTGGCAGTAGCAGAAGGGATCATATTTGATTCCAATAAAGTCAAGATACTAGCGCAAACATCCGACAACTCAGATTCAATCTTCGATTTATACTCCTTGACGAGCAGAACGTGTTCCTCGTTCTTCCGACCTTCTTCTTTCTGCTCGATCGAAGAGACTATTCTCCACGCGGCATGTAGAGATCCAATCACGTTTTTTAAGGCGACAGAGAGAAGATTCCTTTCCTCGACGGTTAGTTCCCCTAATGGAGTTGAGCCGAGGACCAACTTTTGCATGAACTGAACCATCTCCTCGTAGCGCTCGGCTTGCTCAGATAGCTTGGCTAAGTACACGTACTGATCGCAACTCGGATTATTGGGGATCGTCGTCGCCATTTGCAGGAATCAGTGACCTTTCGAGGGAAACAACATCAACGACGACAGAAGCAGTCACGATAGAGCTAACGAACTCCATGCAGCGAAAGAAAAACAAAGTCAGGACCGTTTGGCGAATGATGCCATATTGAGAATGCAGAAAACAAATGAACAATACTTGTATGTTGAATACTAGAACTCTCCATTGAATACAAGATTGCTGCTGTTTATATACAACTTCTCTTGACTAATGTAACAACCTTAACTATTCAACTAACCATGCTAACATCCTAACAACCTTAACTGCTATAACAACTTCAAGAAACTTCTAACTATGCAACTGATGACCCATGCAATCTAAGCTCATACACGCTGCGGTACTAACAACATTGATGCTGACTCATCATGCTAACAAATATTTTTCTCTCTATTTTTGGTGTATTTTTGTCTCCAATGTTTCATTTTAGGGTAAAAACGCATAATATTCGACTAAATAGTCACTTTAGTCCTTATTCTTTTTTTGGAACATTTTGACCCAACGTTTCATTTAAGTTTAAAATCTCCTCAATTTTTGAGCATTGATAGTTTAAGACTAACAATTTTCTTCAATGGAGTGGCTTTTTTTTTTATCCGAAATGAAACATTAAGATCAAAATGCTCTAAAAAATAAGAGTTAAAAGTGATTATTTCATCAAATGTTAGGATCATTTTATGTCATTATACCTTTAAAATGACTGCACTACTATCCTAGTTCCTACGTTGCCACCATGCATAGGTAATAAGATATATATATAGATATTTATAGTTTTCATATCAGTTTGAAATTGAATTATTTCTTTGAAAGTATAATGTGCCTTGTCACTACCATTTTTTGGGTCCAGCTTTATGTGGCAATTGTAGCTACCATCTACGTATGTATCTATCTATTTATCTTCTGGGGGCATCTAAGTTGAAGTGGAAAAGGAAGTAGGATTTATCCAATTGAATGGAACCTTTATTTTCAATAACAAGATTCCCATGAGTTCAACTCAAGAAACCGAAAGCTGAGGAGAGAATTGGAAAGAAAAGATATGCTATGAGGACCCGCAATATTATCTACTTCTCCTTATCAACATGATAATGAAATAATTAATTGCATGCAATTAGTTTCCTGGAAAATAAGGATATTGATATTCTTGCAAATGTAACACCATTGTTAGTGCTATAAACTATTGCATATTCCCATATTCATAAATGCTAATCAACCCTATGATTCGGGTTGCAAAATGGAAATAAGATGTTGTTAGTACGATATATATAGAAAAAACAGCCATATGTGCACCCCTAAAGTCCATAGACTATTGCATCCGTAGACCCATATGTGGCAAAAAGTTTAGTAGTAATACTATTTCAGAACGTGATTAGGATTCGCTTAACCTTCCATCGAAAAGATCAGGAACTATACACGTATTAGTGATCATTTATGTATTTTAAATGTCGCTTAACCTTCCATGGGAAAGATTAGGAACTATACACGTATCAAGGTATTGGATTTCATCTAATCGTCTGTCTGATGTGGGATCATATTATCATCAACTCTCTGCGTAGTTTTTAGTATTAATTTATCCAGTCAGAATATATTCCATTTCAATAGCATCTGTCTGCATGCTTTGCTGGAACTTTCGATCCCACCAATATGAATCACAAGTAAGATGCATCTGCTTTTTCTTCTTTGTCTGGTGATAGCTTAAAAATATTCTCACTTTATTTTTTTGCTTCGTGCAAAAGGAATTGTGCGTATATATAATCTTTGAGTAGCAGATATCACCACGTATATCAGTACCAGGCAAGAATGCCTTCCACAAAGAAAAAGGTAAATAGGGCTTGCGTAACCCTGGCCCGAGATAAAGCCAAAGGCCAGGGTCACTTAAACAAATTAAACCATTATACACACGCATCCGATGGCGGATCGTTAATTATTTATTTTATTGATGGTGTTCAACTTAAAATTTTATTTGTCTTTATCTCATTTAAAAAATTTGTGTTATTAACATAAGTGTGATCATTTTCAAAAATATTTTTAGATTAACCACTGCATACATCTATACTTTTCTCCCGTGTGTTCATTTACACTCATCCATTGATGAATCGAGAGGGACACATGATAATTTATTGATATCCCTAAAACTTTATAAATTCGTCACCTAACATAAAAGTATGCATTCGTCTCATGTATAAAGAGATTCAAACTTGAAACTTCTTTGTTTTGCATGAAAGAGAGATCGACAGTGACAAGGAGAACAAGAAGTGCATATGTGATAACGAAACTATAGTCGTTGGGGAATGTCAACTTTGGTGGACTCATCTGTAAAAGAAAATGTAAAGATATTGATCACAAGTTGCACGCTTTGCCTACAATGCTTTTGTTTTTGGAAGCAAATCAGAAAATTTTCGATAACATTTGGTTTTCCTAGTAGTAGTAGTGTGATAAGAAGATGCAAAGACACATGACAAAACGGATGTTCATCTTATTAATTACCGTTGTTGAGAAAACTAAGTTATTAAAAATCTTGATTTAGAAGCTTAAACTCAGTGCATGTCACCAAAATTCGCAGCGAAGGTCAAAATTTCTTTTGAATTACATTTTTATCATGTTTTTGTTTTAATTTAGTAATTGTAATATAATAATTTTGTTAAAAATGTTGTCTATATATGTACCAATGTTTACTAGGGTAAAAAATTGAACATTACAAGTAAAAGAGAGTATTGTTTTCTTTAGAGGTTTCAAGTTTGAATAACTATGTTCGTAGAGTGTGTGCGTATTGTCAATGACTAAGAAAGAAATTTTGAACATATATTATCTTATAATCACTCCGAATATTAAAAACAAAAAAAATACTAAAAATAATCTGATTTAATTAATTATTTTCATAAATATTTAATAATACATTTTAAAAGTTCACGTAATTTGGTTAAATATTAGTTCTGTTCAATTATTAGCTAAAGTAGCCATTTCAACACAAAGTGTCAGTTAATATGTTATCCGGCCTTTGGGCCAATCCACAGCTAGTTTCCTTCTTTCTTTTAAGTATTTATGCCCTAGAAAAGACAAAGTAGAACATAGCCTGCTTTTGCGCAAAAACTCTAAGATGAGAACATTGAAAAGATAACTATAATTTCGTAATTATTTTGAATCCAACTATTATATGCACCAATTAAGTGATTTTAGGAGTTAAAAGATCTATTATTCTCTCTAAAGATCTTATGTTTGAATACCGATAAAGGTATAAACGTTTATTATCAATTGAATGAAAATTTTTGAATAGATATTTTATCTAAGATTTATCAAAAGAAGCAAAAAATATTATCTCGTTAAATAAAAAACTCTTCAACTAAATTAAATATTAACATATAATATAAATTTTATTTAACTACAATGTAAAATGTTGGAAGCGTTGGTGGGCACTCAATATATCTTGTAACTTTACAATATTATTGATACGAAACACACGAGTACAAACACAAACGCTACACTAGTTACTACTAGTTTACAAACACGACACATACAACCATAACCAAAACTTTGCTAAGCTCTCTCCAATCTTTCGAATATTTTTTCACTCACGTTATATCTCATCTAAAACTAACAAACCACACACACGCACGCATGCATGCGCGCGCGTACATACATATATATAAGTAATAAACCGACTCAAATGCCTCCAACTTACCGCCTTAAATTCCTTGTCATGGTAAAACTCTATAACTTGTTTGTTGTCCATTTTCCATGTTTGAATCCTATCCATTTGCCATGTTTGAATCCTATCCATTTGCATCCCAAAGTTGTTCCAATCCTTCTTCAATTCTACAAGTGGAGGTTTATCCATACATATTTACCTTATCACTATTTCTCTTTTGCTTAATTTATTTAAGCTACTGCCACCTATCATCCAAGTGGTGATTTGCCATATTTTCATTTTTTTAACATATTTTAGTTGGTGCCACATGTGTTGATATATTGCCATATTGGTTATTTCATGAAACTTCTAGTTTTGTCATTCAAATTAAGTTTGAATTCTAACACTCCACCTCAAACTTGATTTTCCATTATGAGATTTTCTTTGAGTCTATGAAATATGTTTGCTTTCAATGGCTTCGTAAAAATATATGTTAATTGATCTTTGGTTCGATAGTAGGTTAATTCCACATTTTTGTTCTTCACCTGCTCTTGTATAAAATGATACTTTGTATCAATATGCTTGCTTCGGCTATGAGAGACGTGATTCTTGGCAAGAGAAATTGTTGGTTTGTTGTCTACATAAATTTTAGTTGGTTCTTCTTGTGTCAAGTTTAACTCGTTCAAAATATTCTTCAACCACGATGTTTGGCAAGCGCACACTGCAGTAACTATATATTATGCTTCACATGTCGAGAGAGCTATTGTTTGTTGCTTCTTTGAAGACCATGAAAATATTGCAGAGCCAATGTGGAATATATATCCAGATGTGCTCTTTCAATGTGGAATAACCAACCAACTTTGAATTTTTTGAATGTGTGTAGAACAGACCATGATCAGTCATACCTTTTACATATCTTAAAATTCTCTTTGCTACAATCCAATGATATTGTTTTGGCTTCTCCACACATCTACTTACCAATCCCATAACATATGTAATATATGGTCATGTGATAGTTAGATACCTTAAACTTTCAACGAGGCTTTTAAACAAGGTTGAATTTACTGGTTCTCTTGTTAAATTAACACTTAATTTCATGCCCAGTTCTGATGGAGTAACTACCGACTTGTAATCTTCCCTTCTAAATTTACTCAAAAATTTCTCTGCATGCTTCTTTTGTGAAACAAATATTCCATCTTGTATATGCTTCACCTCAACTCCAAGGAAGTATGAAATTTCACCAATATTTGTCATTTCAAATTCTTTAGTCATAGCTTTCTTGAAATCTTTAAACATACATGGATTATTTCTGGTGAAAATCATGTCGTCCACATGTAAGCACACGATCATAATATCATCATCTTC